GAACACCGATGGAAATCTTTCTTAGTCTTGACTCTAGTATAGAGATCAACCCAATTTTTGGATTCTGTATTGCCATAGTCGCGTCAGATGGATCGGATAATCATTCGAATCGGCCACACCTTCCCTCTACGGCAAATCACCCCAAAAATGGGCACTGTACAACCAAGGAATGTAGCTTTTGTTATTCGAAGTTGTATCTTATTACCTTTTATTGCTTAAAAAATATAATAAGTTGGGGTTTCATATCTGACCGTTTCTTCTTTTGGAATAGTACAATCATAGGGATTTCGCTCAAGAGGCTTGAAGCATAATTGAAAGCTGGGCCTTAGCAAACGATATTTCTTATATCGTAAGTCAATGTTATTAATATTCACTGTTGTGAAAGTTAAGGCACCCCTCCTAGATTTTGCAATTTGATGAGAAAATATCAGTCCGACAAGGTCAACAATATATAATATCAAGCTTCTCTAAAATAATTAGGGGATACATATGATAGGGAGAAGAAAATTATTTAAGTCTAAGCTCTGGCATGATTTTAGTTGGATTCTCATTCGTGGGGATTCCTTGATACTATAGAAGAAGGCATAAAATGTCTAAAAGGACCTCAAATTTGAAAGAAAAAAAGGCCTAAAGGCTCATCATCCTCACCTCTATGGGCTAATGTCTACATGAACAAGTTGTAATAGAATTTCAAAACGTCAACTAAGCAGACAACAATAATTATGTGATATTTATATGATTGGTTCCCTTCAAATCACATGAAAAATAAAAATTGGACGATTTTGTGATCTTAATCGACATGAATAAAAAAGTCCAATTCATAATGGATGCGGGAGTCATTCGACCCGCGTAAACTCTCTAGAAACCGCTATTCAGAAAGAAATCACATGTCATTAACTTCCAATCTCAACATACCTAAGGAACGAAGAGGAGGATACGCAGAAATATGAGCATAAGAAACCTACGACTCACCGTTTCTGAGTTTTGGAAAGATGAACAGGAAAAAATAACTCAGATATTTCTTGAAAACGAATACCAATAAGAAGGAATACAGCGCATTATGCGGATCGTGATAAGCGGATGGAAGGACGGGGATTCTGAAAGGAAAGCATCGGTAGCAGATGCAAAACAATTGATATGTCTACCCTCCTGTGAACTGGCTTGGAAGCTGCGACCGCTACTAATCAAATGGAAGATTCGTACAAACCTGAGAGGAAGGACAGACCTCTTAACTAGTTCGCCACCATAACAAGAAAAGTCAACAAAATTGAGTGCTCCGGAATTTAGAGCATAAACTTCAGAGACTGTATACAAAAAGAGACACGAAAGGCAATCATCAAAAGGATGAGAGAGCACCAGTGACATACGAAAAAAGAAAGAAATAGTCAAAAACAGCTTCACACGATTGACTGGAATGCAACGGAAAGACGGGTCTCATATTGGGAAAGCAAAAGAAAATAAAAGATCAGTAAGGCCGTGGACATTCTCTTTCAAAGAAACCAAATAAACACGATATTTTAAAAGGGAAGGGTCAGCGAGAAATTTGCGTGCCGCCTAGGCAAACTTGGAGCTTCAAGAAGGACAGCTAAACGAAGATGCTTGAACCAAGGGCATCTATTGAATATAAGGAAGAGGATTGTGAGAGACAAATGAAAGACAATAAAAGACGATTGCAGGAAGAGGATTCAATTCTGTAATCAGCTTGAAAAATTACCGATTTATCCACTTGCGAGAAATTGAATTGAATGTCCATAAGCACCTAATATGTGCACGACTAGAGATGCTAGGCTAAAGAACTAGGTCTATTTTTAATTCATTTAGGTGTGGAAACCGAGTTGGGAGCACAATATCAGTTGGTCCCAAGTGTGAATGTGGGCCTGTTTGCATTTGTATCGTGTGTGGGGTTTAAATGAAAGGTGACAGGTGACGTGTCTGACTAGTGTGGTTACCAAACAGCATACGTATGTTCAACTAACTAAAACCCTAGGATTAGATTGGACTGTCAACTTGAAAAACAAGAGGAATGTGCTTTACGCGATTAGGGAGTAGAGAAGGGTCCGGCTTCATACAAGTGGTCCTGAATCAGGCCATACATAGGGCCCCAGAGACTAAGAAAATGGAGTAGGGACGAGAAAGAGGGTAACTGGGTGAAGGGGTATGGAGCCTAAGGGAAAGGAAGATGCCTAGATATGAGAATCGCCGGTCCTAAATCCTCGGATATAACGCAAACGGTCACTGGAATTGAATACTCAAAGGTGGCCAGATTTCAGACATCCAGATAGTTATCTTTATGTGTTACAGGAAACAACTGGCAAGTGGGTGGAGGGCAGCTAAATAAAAGTCAGAATCCATGATCCAGATGGCGATTAGGCTTCACTTAATCCATTTAAAGTTACACGCTTTATACGACAGAGGAAACTAGAAAAGATAATGGTGTGAATAGATAAATGAGCTAATATAAAGTGGGGTTGATAAAAGCAGATGCAACACTAGAAGCTGGGACAAAAAATAGGGGCAAAAATTATGCTAAAAAAAGGTTAAACAGAAAATTGATCAAGAGGACTACTTTCACTTGTCACATTAATGAGTAGTAACTCTGCCCTAACGATGGCGCCTCTTACTCATAATGCTGACGACGATGCCAGCTAAACGTCTGAGAATGTACCAATTTAGCAGTCTGATTCTGGCAATTATCATTAATAATATGGCAGAGGACGTAGAACTAGGTATGCTCCCCATATCGATCCGAGTAAGTTGCGGAAACGAGGTCAAACCAACACTTTCTAAAATATAGTCTAAAAGTTGAGCGTTGGTGCTACTTGGAATTAGATCATTACATTGCATTTCGGCATAACAACGGCTCCGATCAGCGGTCTAACATAAAAATAATGTAGTGAAGTAATGCATGGCCCAGTTGGAAGGGTTCTGTTAAAATGTCATAAGACGAGAATCGATCATTGATGAAAAGATCGGATAAGAAATACAGATTTTACAGAACGACTTATAGGCACAGATACATACCCAAAAAAATGCATAGGTATAAGAGGAAAATCAAGAAATGTCAATCAAAATATTAGCGAAGTGGATGTTTGAGGCCCAAAAATAAGAGAAATGATGAAGCGCCTGACCTGATAGTTGCTAGCTCTAGAGGCCTTGGCAGCAATCTGACTGACGTTAACCAGTTGAGTGCCAGCGGTCACGGCAGCACGAGCAGCCACCTGGAGGCTTCGGATCACGCGAGTTTGCAATAGTTCAGCGCTGGAGGAGTAGGCGATCAGAGTCAGCTGATCTGCTGACCTCTTCAGGCTGGTTTGCAGCTCAGGGTTATCCGGATTGGCCGAGCAGGCCTACCCATTAAAAGTAGTATAAATAAAATAAATAGTTAAATAAAGGGTAAATGCACTAGGTAAGATTCCTAATGGCTGTAATCTAAAAATGGATTAAATGGCCCATTAAATAGAGGATTAAGAGAGCATTGTTGGCATCTTTAAATGTCGAGTTGCGCTGAAAGCGCCTGCAAATAAGAGAGGGGGGCTTGGTGATTTCACACAACCAGGTTTTTCTGGTGAGCAGAATTTTTGCTTCTGTGCAAATCAAACTGAGTGCATAAGACTATGAAAGACCACCTTCTCAACACATCTTGGTAAATAAAGCTTTGCTAAAGGCAATAATAAAAAAACTAGCTGCTTTTACTGAAAGTGGGCCTCCTCTAAGGGTGAAAAAGAGAAAATGACAAAAGAAATCTGCCTCAAGTTTGAAA